GGCAGGCACCACATGCTCAGATCTAGCAGCTTTATTTTTTTCCTATCAGAATAAGTCATGCCAATCACAGACCTCTTGGCAGCAAGCAGACCCTCACGAGCAGTGGAAGAAGTCTTCAGTTTTCTCTTAATCAGCATCTCTTGAGCAGGTGGGGAAGATCTTTTCTTTCCATCTTAATTCATAGTAAGCTTTACGACAGTGATCAGATGAGCCAATGCATCTAATCCTCTTTACCTTATCTTTCAGGGGCAGCCTACCTTTCTCCCGACGAAGAGGACTAAGCAGCCAACGACATTCACGGTACTCAGCAGAGAAGCTCAACCCAGTATTATAGCAGGTATGAAGCTTGCATGCCCAACATTCTAGCAACTTATGAGCTCTCACGACCTCTTCATTTCTCTCAGTCGCTAGCCTGGCCCGAGTTAGGTCCAAGAGCCCAAAGGACATGAGCCATACGGCTCGCCTAACACTGCGCCCCAACACCACAATCCGCGACCCCGGCCGCACAAGCTGCCCTTAGCTCTAGCCAAGCCAAACAGCCCAAGCAGTGGCCCCTGCCACGATGCCTCCTTAGCCCATGCCGAGCCGACTCCTAGCCCCGCCAGCCGACATGCTGCATCACCCCAATGGCTACCCCGCAATAGCACTATCCAAGAAGAAGACAAGAAAAAATTAAATTTTTCTTACATCGGTGCAGCACGGAGAAGACAAAGAAATCAACGAAAGACGATCCTTTGCACAGGCAAGATGTAGAAGATTGCTAGAGGAGGGGGAACAAATATCCTCTAAGCTCTCTCTCTCTCTTGTAGGGTAGAACAAATCGCTCTCCAAAGTTGATTAAATAACCCACTTAAGGTGGACTTAGATAGGCTTTAAGAGAAATTTATTTCCCTTTCCTAGAAGGACCTAATTTCCTATTAAAGAGAGAATCTACATCAAAATAGGAAGCAGTCATACGTTTCCTAAAGCAAGATGATCTCTACACCTGCTGCCTTTTCTTACGAGTAGCCTAACAGGTGTGGGGGCATTTGTGGAACCAAAAATAATCACAAGGCGACACATGGATTTTTGGACAAAGAGGACAAAAATACCAGTGAGGTACAATGGGATTCTACGCACGAGCAGCGGGCAATCATCCTTCAAAAGTGCCCAAAATAGGTAACAAATTCAAAGTTATTTCATCCATCCTCATCCTATATTTTCCACAAGGTAATTATTTCATAACCTTCAAAACATCCCATATAAATTACATAACCCCCAAAATATTTATTCCAAAAATGTGTTGATTAACTAATTAATGGATTAATTGCCTAATTAATCCATTAAATCACACATTAAACCATAAGTTACACCCTATCCCTATAAATAGGCTCTCATTTTCACCAAAAGATCATTCCAACATACTTGCAAAATTTCCAATACTCTCCAAACACTTTTCTCTTTAAATTCTATTTTTGGCATTAGAGGTTCTTCGGCCAAAGCCCCCCCATTCATCGTATGCGCGTGAGGCTCTTGGTATTGATCATAAGTTGTTAATTGTTTTGTAGATGCAATTTTGTCCAAGATCAAGGAGGAAGAAATTTGCATTCATACTTATCTTTTGTATTTATAAACGGTATTAGGGACATGAATTCAAACACAAAGTTTTTGTGTCCAGTAATGCTCTTAATTACTTTGATTATAAATATCTTTGATCGATGAAATACCTTAAAACGTTGAACCAAGAAAAATTGATAATTTTAGCATATCAACATGTTACTAGATTAATGTTATGCAAATTATACGAGAATCAAATGGGATACTAGTTGGAGAGATATGATTAAAATACAACTATTTCTGATAAGTTTGGAGAGATATATGGTTAAAGAAATGTTGTCCGACCAAAAAAAAAAAAGAAATGTTGTCGGCAGCGGTTGGGATTGGTAGGGCCAAGCTGCCGTACAGAAGAACGGTCAACCGTCAATCACTGGCGGGACCAGGGTAACTAACACCAGAATATGATACCACGTCTCCCTAACGTGGCAACTGCCATACCCGACAGTCACCGTGACTTCGTCCTCTCTGTCTCTGCTCACGTGTAGGTCTGCAAACCACATTCAACGAGCTTTCATTTCAGTCAAAAAGCTTTCATTTTCAACGCCAAAAAACCCAGAAAACAGAAATTAAAAAGAAATTCATTATATCAGTTTTTCAAATAAAAAAATGATACTTCTATAGCGTTTATCTCATCATTTTAATAAAGATGAGATTTACATATGTTGGTGAATTGTATCATTGTTAAAGAGATACTATAAATATGGTATGAAAAATATGATAAATGTAATTACTTTTTTTCAATGGCCTACCCATAGAAAGAAGGAAGAAAAAGATAAATTCGATGGGTGAGAGATTGGTATGAAAAGGTTTTGAATTCATCGTTTTTGTATCACATATATTTAATTGTGATAAGTTATGCATACTTGTTGATTAATAACCCTATCTCGTTTGATATGAGCCATATGTTTTACTTATCATATCACATAGCAACCATTGTAATTTAAATAAGTTACCTCTCCTGGCATTATTTGTTGGTTTATAATATTCTTTTGTTTTAAGAATTTTTATTGACATTCAAAAAATCTTATTTTGTACTCCAAAATTTTTATAATTAAAATGAAGAACGCACTTACGATGAGTGTAGAATAAAAATTTTAAAGTGCTAATAACATTTCCCTTTGTTTTTTATTTTAATATTGTGGGGTTATAAAGACAAAACCATAGAAAAGTGAAGTAATTTTTGTACCATTTATGTTGGTAGGCCCTATTTTTAATAAAGGGATGATGCAAATATAGTCCAAAAGGGTAATGTTAGGAAATTTTTGTACCATTTATGTTGGTGGGCCCTATTTTTAATAAAGGGATGATGCAAATATGGTCCAAAAGGGTAATGTTAGAAAAAATTTAAAGACAAAATTTACAAATTAAATTATATATCACAAATATGAATTAGCACGTATATCAACAGTTAAATAATAAACCAATCATTAATGTCCTTTAATTTACAAAATTTTGTCAATAAATTTAGTTTCTTAGCATTACCCACTGTAAAAATGTGATAAGAGTAATAAGACATTAAAAACAAAACCAAGAAGAAATTTATCCCCACCTTTCTTCTTCCCAACTAAAATCCATCCCTAATTAATCGTTCTTCTGTTAACCCTCATAACAAAAAATATTGATGAGATTATGACAAGTCATAATCTCATAGTCATAGAGTTCGTTAAGCAAGGCTGTTAGATTGTTTAAGTTTTGAGTACTGTAGCACTATCTTCTCTATCTCTTTTGTTCAATTTTAACATAGTATCATTGCTGGAAATGGCCGATTTCCGTAATTAAATTGCTTTTGTAGTATAGGTATTTGTTACTGAAGATCTGATAGTTTGCTGGTATTCGATGAACATTTCCTGTTTAGTGATGATGCTGATATAGCTTAAAGTTTTTGGGATTTTGTCCCAGATGGTATCAAACAGCTCCGACTATAATTACATGAGGTTATCAGTTCCAAACCTCCAAAGTCCAAACTCTATCCGTCACTTATCACATGTGTCTCTCTACGTACATTGTGGACCGTATGATTAGCTGGTTCAAGGCGCAGTAGTTTATCAACAACCATGACAAGAAGCCGTATGTAATAGACTACGGCCCCGTTTGGGATTGAGGTTATTTTAAAAAAAGCCACTGTGAAAAAAAGCTGAGGGTCATTTTTGTGTTTGGTAAACTGAAAAAAAAGGGCTTATTTTGGAAGCTGCTGTGAGAATAAGCTGAAAATCAAAGGAAAAGCTGAAGCTGCTATTTGCTGCTTTGAAAAAAAGCCAGTTTTTTCAAAGCACATGGAGCTACAATGCTCCTTTAATGAAAAGACACTATCATCCTGCTTTTTTTTCCAAAAGCACTTTCACAAAAAAGTTTACCAAACACTCTACTGGCTTTATTTCACAGCCGCTTATTCTCACAGCACAGCTGCTTATTCTCACAGCAGCTTTTTTTCAAAGCACAGCAATACCAAACCAGCCCTACGTCTCATTGTTTCGTGGAGCAGTTCTCCAATAATGAAGGTCCGTAATGACTTTAGGGTAAGACCATTGTACGTACGTAGTTTCAAGTTGGTTGCTTTAAGTTTCTAACCACCTTCACAGACAAACAATAATCTACTGTAACCATGTGGAAACCTTTCACTGTCAGCAGCACCTGATGGAGTCTCTTCAGACACATATATTAATTTATTCAGAAAACCCTAGGGTTTCTTTTACTCTTTTGGGCCACAATGTACCATTCGCCAATTGGTGGGTTTGACTCCGTATCCCCTAAGGTCACGGAATTTGACTAGTATGCCTCTGCGTCTCTACCAAAACCCCGTGCCTCAAATGGTAACCTCTGATTACTTTCACATTTTTTTACTTGGACAAGAATACTAATATATATAGTCCGGTGGATAGAAATTCTAATAGCCCTCAAGAAAAAACAAATAAAAGGCAAATAGTACTCATTGGCTCCAACCATTTGTCCCCCACTGCTAATGAGAACAAGTCAAATGCGCAAATGGTTGGTGCCAATGAGAGTGATTCTCCTTGACACCTTTTTACAAACAAATTATCGCAATTTTCACTACTAGAATTTTGGCTAAAGGACATTCTTTTCATTGGTGTCTATTATAAAGAATAGGCACTGACATTGGTGGCAAACCCCAATTGCCACCAAACAACCACTAAATAAAAGTTCATGTCCTATATAGAAGTCTCTATTGCTACAATCACCACCAATTAGATAACGGTGGCACAATGAATAGTTACACCTTTGAAATATTATATAATTTTTATACGTCCGTGTCCATGTTGTAATATGTTTTTTTTTAAAGGCCCATTAAATATATATATATATATATAGTTAATAGACTGTGTATACATGTTAATAGACTACACAGAATTGCATGTTTGCGGTAGTCTTCCTTAACTAATCACATATTAAAAAAAATCAGGTCTAAAACCAATGAGCTATACTAAAAAATATGAAACCATCCGTCAAAGTACGAAACAGGCACCAAATTTGAAGGAAATTGCCACTTAAAAGACTTCACATTTTCTTGAACACCTCCAGCAAACATGTTTTTTAAGAGTGACATGCTCCTCGTAATGCTTGAGCCTCAGTAATTGCTATCTCTACCTGCAAACACATAAGCACATGGATCAAATGACTAAAATATACACAAAAGTATGCCTTTACAGTTTTATTGTTTCCTACAACTTGCATAAAAAGCATATACTTGCGAGTATGAGTCTCTAACATTCCACACGAAAAACTGATGTGGCAAGTAGATCAATTTTTCAGGAGATAAATTTATAAGTCTCAATTTCACAAGTGATATACTTGCAAGTAGATAAATTTTCGATCAGTGGATATGGTTATCAATTATGACATCACAAAAACATTCTAAAGGTAAGACTCACTGTTTTGAACTAGTGGCTTGATGTTATAAGTGAACCATTTATCTAATTTTTGGGTCTTAATATATTACAAATTCAACATCAACACAAGCACCAACAAATTTCAATTTGTTTTCATTTCTTTTTATTCCTTTTTGTTCAACCCAATTAACTTCCCTGAGAAATAAAACAAAAGGTAAAGAGAGAAAGAGAGAGTTCTCAACCTGGCTCAACTTCGCCTTTGGAAACTAGGCACTGGAAATAGAGATGGACTTCGTGAATATAGATAGACTTGGTGGCCTTGAAAACTAAGTAATAAGATAAATTTGTTAAGTAATTTTATCATGCTCAGGTTTTTTTTACTTCACAAGCTATACAATAAGGACAGAATAATCGTCCCACCAACTGGTCCTCACATTACCCACCTAATATCATATATAATATCCTTACCCCAAAAAAAAAAGAGTAAGGAAAAAAATATACAGCAACTAAAATTACAGATGAGAGTTAAACATTAGAGTCACTTAAGCAAAAAGTATGTGCAATAAAAAAATTGAAAATTAAAAAGGAATTTTACCTTCAGCCACAAACCTATGCAGTTTCTTATCCCTCAAATGTACAACGATGACAGAAGAGAAACTAAGAACGGTATATAAATTTAAAGAGGAAATTACTTAAAGAGGTAATGTATAAATCAACGAAAACAAAACCCAGTGGGAAATAATAAGATAACCGTTCTTGGATTTTAACCTGACAAATTCATGGCATTATTAGGCAGCCACAAATTTTCTGTTTTGACGGCCATTGTTTTCAATGGTCTTTATCACCTGGATTCAAGACGACAGACAATCTAATAAAGCTTACGCCACTATAGAAAATAAATAAAAATAAAGCTGACACCTTCATATAAGTTAAATTGATCAAACTCAAATACCAAATTGTAGAAAAATTAATCGAAACCCAAATACCAAATTGTAGAAAAATTAATCGAAATCCAATTGAACAGAGACAAAACCCAACTCAATAACCGAGAGAACAAAACCCAATCAGCAAAATCTCATATTCAAACCTAGAAATCACCAAATCAGACAAAACCGAGAAAACACAATTGAACACAAGCAAACCCCATGAGGAAAATCACCTGAGCTGCAGACTCCGAGAGCCAGAAGTGGCGGAGAGATTACAAGTTTGGGCGAGTCGGCAAGGTCGAGGTATAAAGATCAACAATACATACGAGTTTGGGCTCGGTGGGCGAGGTCACTGACGTGTGCGGAGCTGAGGGCAATAAAGGGACCTAAAACCCGAGATTTTGAATTGAAACCGATTGAAATTTCTTAGATTGAAAGGAAAAATAAATCTAAAAAATGGAGAAAAAAAATCATAAAATTGAAGGGGACCTGAAATTGAAAACATGCTGTCCCCGGCAAACGAGCTGACGAGTGAACCGTCCACGTCTGAGACGTCAATGAGGAGAGGTCGTGGATCTCCAGTCGACCTGAGGATAGAGAAATCCGATAAGGACGTTGAGAACGTATATCCCCAAGTCATACGACACCACGTAGTGTTAGAATTCCTGTCCCACATTGGGCAGACGGTTCAAGAACAACCCTTTTAAATAGAATTACTCTATTCTAACTAACATTGAGATTTTTTTGTATTAAAACTTCACACTTGACGGATTAAGTAGTTGGTCAAATGAGAATAGTATCGGTGTTGTTGGAGTTGGCCCATGACCCGTCTACCTGAAATTTAAGATGGTATCAAAACCCGAAAAAGTCTGTGAATGTGACATCATTCAACTCGGTAGGCTCTCTATCTCAATTTGAGGAACTGAACTAGAGCTCAGGAAGAAGACAGCCCTAAATCCTCGACTTCTCACGAGGGAGTATTAGAATTCATCTGTCCCACATCAGCCAAAAGGCTTGAAAATAAGCCCTTTAAATAAAATTACTCCATTCTAACTAACATTGAGGCATTTTGTATTAAAACTCTAAACCTGACGAATTGAGCAGGTAGCCAAGTGAGGACAGTATCGATATTGTTGGAGTGGGCACATGGCCCGTCTACCTGAAATTTAAGACGTAGAAGCAATGACCTGAGAAAGCTTTACAATCGAAAAGGTAAGGGAGCTACGAGCAGGTGGCCAAGTGAGAATAGTATCGGTGTTGTTGAAGTAGGCACATGACCCGTCTACCTGAAATTTAAGACGAAGAAGCGAGGACTCGAGAAAGCTTTACAATCGAAAGGGTAAGGGAGCTAGGGTTAGGGAGGAGGAGAGGGGTTGAGCGCAAGAAGGAGAGAGAGAGACAGAGAGAACGGCTGGTTGAAAATTAGGGTTGAGGTAAGTTTCGTTGTTGTCGCGAAGAATGGGAGATGAGATCGGCAAATACCATGGTTGTTTTGGGTTGTCGGCAGTGAGAAAGGAGAAAAATATGGAAGAAGCAGAGAAAGAATAAGTGGGAGTGAATTGAGTGAAATATGAATAGCAGCGGATGTTGAAAATATCTTTTAGGGTTTGATAACTTTGTGTTTTATATGGAAGTGAAAATATATGTGGAATAATACTATTAAATAAGGCTAATTATATTAACACCTCACAAATTGTTGAATAAACCTCACATACTTAATACACCCCACATTTGCTTTTTCACTTAAAAATTATCTTAATATACCCCGCATACTTTCTCATAATACCCCCACACCCCACATTCTCAATATACATCTTATATTTTGTACATACGCCCCACATTTCTCAAATCTTATAACACTAATTCTTTATTTTCAAGGATTGAATCTAACCATTTGAACGTTTAGTTTGCCGAAAGATTTCAAATCATCTCCCAAAATAGTTCAGAGCTCTGCAAATCCTTGTCAGGTACTAAATTTAGAGGCTTTGGTGGGGATTTCAGTTTTCTTGATGGGCAATTACAAACATCCGTCTTCGAAATGGTAAATGGGTTCGGTGATGCAACAAGAAGAACTGGGTTTTGGACACCACCAAGTTGACTTGTGAGAAAATTGAACTCGAACAACACAAGTGATCCTTATTCAACTTCTAAAAAGCCTAAAAAAAAAAAGACATGCGGTGCTGAGTCTTTCCAATATAAAAAAAAAAAAGACTCTCGTTAGTGCTAACAAATAATGCTTCTATATATATTTCACAAGTCTTTAGACTTAGTCTTGAACAAAATAAATAAAGACCCTCTCTCTGCTAGTAGAAGTTAATTAATAAATCAAAACTGAAGCGGTCTCAGATTTCTTTAAATACAGGCCATGTCTCTCCTCATTTTCCATTGATCATCTCCCAGTGACAAGAAAAGAAGAAGAAAAAAGAAAGAAAAACTCGCGATGAGAAACGTACGTCAATCAAACGGCAAAAGATTGAAGTAGGAGTTCATGTAGAGAATGGCTATCCTCAATTTGTAAAAGTAGTATATGACACTAGCACTAATATGACTCATGTTACCGGGTACGCAAGATTAATATGAACACTAAAAGATGAATATGAATATAGAAGTTTAAATAATGCAGCAAACACAAGATTAAATAATTATCGATGTCATCGAAATCACTAAAACAATGAAAACTATGAAGTCTTACCTCATGTAAAGCTCCCAAAACATCGATTTCGTGTTCCATTCGTCAAAAACAATTTTTCTCAATCAACATGTTTGATAGTTTAGAAGATAAATAATACACTAAAAGTGATTTGAGGTGTATTTATAAATTTTTTTTTTAAAAACCTAATAAGGTCAAAATTGTCATTGCATAGTGGAGTAAATAAGTCATTTAATATTAAATTTTAATGTGAGGTGCATTCAACATTTTTGTGGGGTGTTAATATAAAAACCCTTAAATAAATATAATACTATTTTTGACAAAAAAAAAATGGTGAGCAAAATTGAATCGTAAGTTAAAAAACAAAACAATATGACTTTGGTTTCAAAATTTTTACAGTTGACACCAATAAATAGTGTTGAAAAGGTTTAAGGCACTAAATTAAAGCAATAGTGACACATACATTTACAACGCCACTAATAGAAAATAATGTCCTTAAATCGGTGCCCTAGCACATTTTCTAGTAGTGTTTGGCCAGCAAGACAGCTGATGGTTTTTATGTTGTGCATATGGAGGCCAATGGAAGGTATTACAGGGCACGGATGCCAAAAAGCGGGCCTCGCAAGGAGGAGATGAAGTTGGTCACGTATTAATGTCAACGCTGACGTGGTCACATGTAAAGCTGAGGTGTTCAGCTCTTCATGGACCGTCCAACTATAAAGTATCATATACACGTACCTACCCAAATGGATATATAACTTCCACACTTCAACCCACGTTGAGTATTAAATGGTTTAGAATGAAGGATAAGCTTAGTCAGCACCACGTGTCCCTATTTATTATGCCATATAAAGAAAATATTTACATAACACCGATTCACTAGCACATACCGTCTTGTGTTAGTCAAACAAGTTTACACATGTTTTAATTTATTAGCATAAAACATTATATTAATATACTCATGTCATGCAAGTATGTTACCAACATTTAAGAATATTAGTTATGGTTAAGGAATATAAAACCCTAAACTGGTGTAGCATTATTTCATTTATTTGTTCCGACGTTTATTGGGCTATATATAAAGTTTATTCTTTTCTGGTATAAACCCTGATTGATATGTGCTAGATCATATGTAAAAAGGTTTGATTCTTCCACAGATATATATATATATATATAAGGTTTCACTATAAAATTAATTGTCAATATAGAGAGTAGTTCAATTTATTTATATGTCTATGCAAGGTCTCTTCCATATCATTGTGAGATTCATTCTTAACACAACCTTCACATGTGACGAATTTTCAAAATAACACGTGGACAACATATTGGGATGACATGGAGCTAGCAGTGTGGCTGTTAGGTTTCACGTGAGACAACTTACTATGATACTATGAAAGAATTAAGTTGAGGTTCTACCACAAAACTAATTGGCAATATAGAAAGTAATCCAACTTACTTATAAGTTTATGCAAGATCACTTCTTCTATTAATGTAGGATTCATTCTCAACCAATTCTGATAAGTCTTGAAAATTACGGTCGAACATCCGGCTTCCCTAAAAAAATAAACAACTCGGAACAAACATCTGCATGCGCATAAGTTCGAAGTAATAACGATATCTTTCAGTTTGTGGCCCCGAGTCTCTTGTTGTTTGGCCTGCATGCATTCCAGTTGGGGGTTTAAAACAATAACCGTTTGTATTTCTTCTTATTTTATTTTTTTTTCATTGTTTGATACGGTTCCTCTTTGATTTTAGTTTTTTTTATTGGATTTTAGTAAACCGTTGAGAAAAAAAAGAACAAGAAAAGAGAAAGACATTCCTCTAGCATTACATGTCGTTCATTGTGTATTGTATATAAGTTAGAATTTTTCTCAATCTCAACCATTGTTTAAATAAGATGGTTAAGATTGAATCCAAAACTACCATAATTTCAATCAATTAATATTTGTACATATATATGAAATATGACATTGATTAATGAACTAAAAAACTGTAACTCGCATACACGTAACTCGCTGTGATTAAAAAAAGACATTTCACATGCGTAGAAGTGTGGGCAAAGAGATTATTTAATATATCTGCATGCATGCAAACATACGCCAGCTTGCCGGCCTTGGCTCCCACAGCCTTTTCTCTATGGCCCTCCCCTTCTGCTCAGGTCAGGTCACCCCCTCAATCCTAATTCCCATTTACTCTCTTTTCTCATTAAGTATTTAATTTGCTTATCAATGTTGTGGATATATATGCAACTGAGTCACTTTAATGGTCGTATTCCCTAGTGTGTATATTCCGAAACTTATTGGACAAGTTGTGGATGCAAATTTTTTCCTCCTTGATCTTGGACAAAATTGCACCTATAAAATAAATAACACATTTGGTTATGGCCATAAGCCTCACGTGCCCACGATGAATTTGGGGGGGGGGGGCTTAGGCCGAAGAACCTCCGATGCCAAAGTTAGAATTTAGAGAGAAATAGTGTTTAGAGAATTTTGGGATTTTTGCATGAGTATTGGCTTAGCTTTTTGGTGAGAATGGGTGTATATTTATAAGGATAGGAGGTGGCTAGGGTTTTTTGGGTTTAATTAGGAGTTACAAAATAATTATTTGTATAAATGGGATAATAAAATGGAGAAAAGTGAAAAGGGTTAGGAAAAGGAAGGTGGATTAGGTTTTGAATGGGGATAGCCGGCCATGTGGTGTTTTTGGGTTGAATTGGATGTGTTTTGTGGTTATTTGGATATAATGGATGGTTTAATTGACAATTAATGGGTTAATTAGGCAATAAACCCATTAATTAGCCAATTAACATAATTTAAAAGGAATGTGTTTGGGAATTACCTTGTAGAAAGGATTTGATGAGATGGATTTTGAATTGTTACCTATTTTGGGCACTTCTGTCTTTGTTGAAAGAGGGTTGCCCGCTGCTTGCGCGTAGGAACCTCGTTGTACTGCAAGGGTATTTTTGTCATCTTTTACCCAATAATCCACGTGTCGCCTTGTGATTATTTTTGGCTCCACACAAGTAGCGCCCACAAGTTTAACACGTGATAAATAAGTTCTAAGATGATTGACATAAGATGAATGATGCAGGTGAATCTATAAAATTATGACTAAAATCTTCCATTAACATTAAGCACTCTAAGTTGCGTGAGTAATGATTAGCTTGGATATATGAAAGTTGTTTTCATCTGGTTGTCAATGGTTGCAAGTTGGAGTCACATGGATTTGAAGACGATATAAATTTGTGAAGAGTAATGAATACCAATCGTGAACGCAGGGTCTTATTATGGTGGTGTACAACTTTGTTGTCTAACTTGTCTTATCTCGTTATAAAAAATTGTTAAAGTATCTTATTTTGTGTAAATATATAAATAAAAGTAATGCTTACATCTCAATGAATGCTAATTCGAAAAAGAAGAATTTGAACTATGAGATGAGTATGGTAAATACTTGATACCAGTAAGCTTACAAAACCTGACCATAGACGATTTATTTTAAATTCTGATTTGTACATATATTTGAGTAGTTTACTGACGTTGTTTCAGAACAAACTAACAAGGGAAAGAAAAAAAAAAAGAAAAACTACAAAATAAACCATGAACAAAAGAAAAACTACAAAAAAGAAAAACCTGACCATAGGCATACTTTTATGAACAGTGCATATGATTTGGAGGTATTGATATAGTTATGTATGAGGAAAAATAATTAAAATTATAGCTTAATTCATTTGTATTAGAGAGCGTGGACTTCTTGTTCAATAGTTGGGTGCACTAACTAGGCGTGGGTTGTTTGCTTCAATAGTTTCAAGTGATCATTTCTAATCTCCTTTTATGGCATGCTAATTATCTTATACAAGTGAGCTTATTAGTACAACAATCATAAGTTTAGTGCCTTAAGGAACAATTATTTTGACTTTTTGCT